AGCATCATAGACCAAATCTACACCAGTGTTTCTCAACCTTTTTTTATAAAGTACCCCTTTAAAATATATATATATATATATATATATACACCCCCTTTTTATATATATATATATACCCCCTTTTAAAAAAAAATTATAAGTACTCCCAGTACTTACAGTTTTCAGACACACATTTTTTTCTACCATTGCAACACATTTGTTTAAACAACTTAATCATAGCCGGGTAGACGATGAAATTTTTGGGTGTAAAAAGTACAAAAATAATAACTCACTGTAAACTTAAAACAAAAATTCAGTTTTCTCCAAATTTCAGTTGTGTTGATGTACCCCACAGATGTCTCTCGAGAACCACTATGGGTACTTGTATCACTGGTTGAGAAACACTGATCTAAACTACAGACTTCCAATGGTGGAACTATATAATTCTCAGGGCTGTGAAAAATCCACATTCCTGAGTTCTACATCAGAGGAAGGGCTTCACCCCTCAATATAGCTACCGTCTCTCAGAGAACAGATTAACGCCACTGAAAAAAGAAGCTCTCCCACCAGTGTAGCATCTTCACTTAAGGGTTGCAGCAGCATGCTGCACTGATCAGTGCAGCATGCTGCTGCAGCCCTTAAGTCATGGGTTCCCAAACTGGGGGGCGTGCCCCCCTGGGGAAGGCACGAAGAAATTCCAGGGGGAGCGCGAGGCAACCCAGCCACACACCCCCCGTCAATCCCATCCCAAGTTTTGCTGCTATTTTTTTGGGAGGGGGGGGCATGATGGTTTCTCAAAAATCAAAAAGGGGGCGTGATGCCGAAAAGTTTAGGAACCACTGCCTTAAGTGAAGATGCTATACTGATGGGAGAGCTTCTTTTTGTCTTACTTTATGACTGTGAAGCTCCTAGCTCATTTTGCAACAGTATTTAATTAACAAACAAAGAAACAAACAATCCACCCTTCTTTGACTGAAGAATGTCAAGTTATTTTGGGTACCCAAGTTGCAGGAGCCTGATTTTCAGGGAGTGATGAGCACCCTTTCAGATGTCGTAAACTAGGCACCTAAAAATACTTGATACTTTTGAGACCACAAACCCCATTTTTTAAAAATGTAGGCTCTAGGCCTATATTTAAATCTCTCTCCTTACACATAACTATTGCTCTAAATATTAAAAATGGGCTGTTGGCTGTTTTGAGGAAATGGGCTTGTATTTTACATTACAGCTGTATACATACTGCACACCTAATAAATCCAATATTTTTTCAGTCCTCAATACAAAGCAATTATGAATGAGATTGTAGCAGATGTATCCAAAAAAGAACAAATAAACAAAATCAAAGAGTGTATTTCTCCCTCCAGATTAAGAATTTGCTCTAAATACAGACACCTTGACTGTAATATTTAATGTAATTAGTAGAGTGAAAAATTCTTTTGCTTACAATCCAATTATAAAACATGAAAACCTTTACAGTAATTTTTATTTCTGCCTGAGGGACAAATATATGGCTTTGTAGGAGTGATATAAGGCCAGATCCTCAATTGGTACAAACCAAATTAGCTATATTGACCTTAATGGAGCCACATTGATTTATACCAGCTCAGGATCTGATCCACAGTCTCCATTTATGCTCAGGGCAAATCTTATAAAGGCTTCAATTGGCTAAAAAAGAACATAAAGTGTGCAAGCATCATGCCACTAATCAATACAAGTTAGTAACTACTTTATAACTTCATAAATAATAAACTAAACTGAGAGTAAAAAAAACCACCGAACAGATTGCTTTGTGTCTACATTATTAGTAGGAGTTGACATATCGACAGAGACTATAAGGAATCAACTCAAATATTTAAGCAAATACCTTTTAACATACTTGTATTAATGTGGTTAAACAGATCACATTTACAATTGCGTCAATGCAAATTTAACCCTGCTGACAGAGTGTATCTGGAATTGAAGAATTCTGAGCATAATCTTGGGATTTACCAAAAGAAAAACTTGCAGACTTTTAGTGTAGTCTATATCTTTACTCAAATTAATTCATTTATTTACTACAGGTTGAACCTCTCTAATCTGGCACCTTTGGAACCCCCTGCCAGCTGCCAAACCAGAGAATTTGCCGAATGATGGGAGGTTAATATTGTGCAGAAGCATTACCAACTTCCACTGCTTACTGGGCTCTGAGAAGACATTTGTGGGTAAAATAGAGCTAAATAACAGTACAGAATAATGAGAGACATGACTGGTAGCTGTAAACAACCTTTATGGGACTGCGGGAAACTTAGCCACACCCACAATAGGCAGACACCTGGCTAATTAAAATCATGCCAGATTACAGATACTGCTGGACCCGAGAGGTTGAACCTGAACCATAAAAAGATGAAAATAAAAACAATGTTTAGATTTGTTCACATTAAAAACAACCGTTCATTTCAGATAGGGTGTAGGAGTTGCTGTTCAGAAAAGGTTATGAGCAAATTACTTGAAGTTCTGTGGCACCTTATAGACTAACAGATGTATTGGAGCAGTGGTCTCCAACCTTTATACACCCAAGATCACTTTTTAAATAACAGAACAAGCCAAGATCTACCGCACTGCTCCTTCCTTGAAGCTCCGCCACTCTATTCTCCTCCTCTCCATCACTTGCTATCCTCAACCTGTATACTGCTGCTTTTTTTTCTTTTTTTTCCCAATTCTTCTGTAGGAAGAGGTTTTTCCAACTATTGGCCTGTCTAGACTGGACCAAATGTCAGAAAAACCCCTTCTTTTGGAACCTCCCTTATTCCTCGTGGAAAGAGGAATAGAAGGGTGATCAAAAGAGCACGTTTGCTCTTCCACTAAAAAAAGCAGAACAACAAACGCATCACTGGATGCAGAAGAGTTTTTCTGGGATATCTCCGGAATCCTGAAAAACTCCTGCAGTCTAGCTGTACCCTCACTGGTTTGAGACAGGATGTGTAGGCTCTAGGGTAAGAATGAGGGATTTGGGTGTGGGAAGGGGTGAGAAGTGCAAGCTCTGGGAGGAAATCTGGATGCAGGAGAAGGTGGAGAAGGGGGATGCTGGCTCGGGGAGGGGGCTCCTGGCCAGGCAGCATTGGGGTCAGATGGAGGGTTGGGGTACTAAGCAAGCCACATCAAGAATTTGGTTTGGGGCATGTGAGGGGCTCCGGGCAGGGGGTTCCAGTGTATGATAGGCTCAGATCTAGAGTCTGGGGGAAGGGAGAGTGCAGGAGTATTATGATGCTACGTCCAGATAGGGGATTGGTCCCAGTTGGGGGTTTGTTGGCCAGGCTTCATTTTTAAATAAAATACTATGTCAAACACAAAAAGTTTCTGCATTGTCTTTATTTATGAGAAGGGCAGGGAACCTGTTTTGAGTCAGGGGTCACTGACCAACAGAAAAGTAAGTTGCCAAACCCCCCTGCCAAAGCCTGAGTAATGTGGCCCCAACTGTGCTGGTGGGAGCAGGGGATATGGTACTGGGGAAGTGTGCTAGTGGGTGCTGGGGCAGGAGACAAGGTGCCAGTGGGGGCAGGGTTCTGCAGCTGGGGACAGGGGAGAGGGAACAGGGTGCCGGGAGGGCAGGGGTCAGGGTTCTGTGGCTGGGGGCAGGGTGACAGTGGGGGCAGAGGGGTCACTGACCAACAGAAAAGTAAGTTGCCAAACCCCCCTGCCAAAGCCTGAGTAATGTGGCCCCAACTGTGCTGGTGGGAGCAGGGGATATGGTACTGGGGAAGTGTGCTAGTGGGTGCTGGGGCTGGAGACAAGGTGCCAGTGGGGGCAGGGTTCTGCAGCTGGGGACAGGGGAGAGGGAACAGGGTGCCGGGAGGGCAGGGGACAGGGTTCTGTGGCAGGGGGCAGGGTGACAGTGGGGGCAGAGAGTCCCCTGCACATGCTTCCTCCAGGCCCAACTCCCCCCCCCCCTTTAAAGACTGTGAATGGCTAGCCAACTACAAAAGCAGTTTCTCCTCTCTTGGTGTTTACACCTCCAGATCAGCTGCTAGAAGTGGGCCTCACTCTCCCTGACTGAATTAACCTCATTATCTCTAGCGTTATTCTGGCCTGCATATTTATACCTGCTTCTGGAAATTTCCACTACATGCATCTGCCGAAGTGGGTCTTTGTCCACGAAAGCTTATGATCCAATAAATCTGTTAGTCTATAAGGTGCCACAGGACTCCTTGTCGCTATCTCCTTGAAGATCCAGATTAACATGGCTACCCCTCTGATACTTGAGTTTTAATGAGAAATTTGAAGGAAGATGCCAGGAGTCATGAACATTAGTGCTGCTACAGCTAACTAGTTAAACAGAACTTGTAAGACTTAAAGCATAGACAATTAGATCTTGGAAAAACACTTGTTAACCGTGGTGTAATCCTTTATATAAGCTGAGTACATTACCAGGGGGCTACGTCTACATTGGCATCCCTTTCCGGAAAAGGGATGCTAATGAGACGAGGCGGAATTGCAAATCTGCGGGGGATTTAAATATCCCCCGCGGCATTTGCATTTACATGGCTGCCGCTTTTTTCCGGCTTGGGGATAAGCCGGAGAAAAGCGCCAGTCTAGACGCATGAGCAACCAATGGAACGTCAGATAAGCACAAATATCAAATTAACCTTGATGTTTATAGCTCTGCAAGCTATAATAGTAATATGGGAAATCAAATGTCAAACTTCATGGTGTACTATGACCACCTGCAGGAATCTGTAAAGCATCTCCCACTCCTTCTCATCCCCACATACATAGTGGCACACAACTAACTTGCTTCATTCTAGAGATGTGCGCATTCATTTAAAGCATCAGGTACTGGCCGCTGTCAGAGACAAGATAGAGGGAAGCATGGTTTGATTTGCATTTAACAGACTGCACAGTACGTGTGGACACCGGACAAAAACCTTGCTCTAGACTGTTTTGCACTGTGTGTAACGGGCCTGTTGTTCAGTATTAAGATCTAAAAGTTATGAACACATTTTGGTTACATCATGAAGTTCTGAGAATAGTCATTTATATGTTACCTTGCACTAGAATAATAAGGGTTTCCCTCCTCTTCAAACCTCCTAATGATTGGCTCCTTCAAAGCTGCTTCATCTGCCTCAGATAACTGTAAGGAATAAAGCAAGTATTTGGACACAGTCTATATAAAAATTCTTCAAATCCTGACTTCACATAACAGTCAATAAGTAACTTACTAAAATACTATCTCCAGAGACAAGGTATGTGAAGTAATATCTTTTACTGGACCAACTTCTGTTGGTGAGAGAGACAAGCTTTTGAGCTGCACATAGATCTTCTTGAGGTTTGGGAAAAGTACTCTGAGCATCACAGGTAAATGCAAGATGAAACAGAATGTTTAGCATAATTAATTGGCACATATACAGATAGGGGGCTAGTGGGTTACAGATTGTTGTAATAAACCATAAATCTAGTATCTAGCAGAATTATGAATTTAAGCTCCCAGGCTTGTCTTTTGATGATGTTGTGCGGGTTTCTTCTGAGGATGGATAGGTCAGATATAGAATGAGTGCTTTGTGAAAAATGTTCACCCACAGATGATAGGATGTTTTTGTCTTTTATCATTTTCCTATACGAGGTCATTAGAGATCATAATGATTGACCCGTTTATTGGGGAATCTGGGTATATATACCACAGGTTATAATAGACATTTAGGATCCATGGCTCTTAAGGATACGTTTGGAAGGGCTCTGATCACTAGAGCCCTGGGCGGATATAAAATTTTGTATCCTCATCCATATCATCAAAAATGACCTGCAGATAGCCACATCCATATCCACGGATGCAGATATCTGTGGATATGAAGCAGATAGCTGCAGATCTACAAGGTTCTAGTTATAAAATTTGTATCTACATCCACATCTATATCTTCAAAAATGAGATGCGGATATTCGCATCCCCATCCGTGGATGCAGATACACGGGGGTGCAAACACCGGCAGATTTGCAGAGCTCTACTGATCACTGCAGCAGTGGAGATATGTCTACAGCAGCAGTTCTCAAACTGTGGATCAGGACCCCAAAGTGGGACACAACCCTGTTTTAATGGAGTCAAAAGGGCTGGCTTAGATTTGTGGAGGCTGGGACCAAAGCCCAAGCCCCCCACCCACAGACAAAACCCAAAGGCTTCATCTCTGGGTGGCATGGGTCAGGATAAGGTCCCCTACCCGGGGCTGAATCTTTTGGGCTTCAGCTCTGAGCCCCCTGCCCAGGGTGGTGAAGTCAGCCTTTAGCTTTGACTCCTCCACCCAGGGTGGCACGACTTGGATGGGCTCAGATTTCAGTCCCCTTTCCTGGGGTTGTATATTAACTTTTGTTGTCAGTAAGGGATCACCCTGCAATGAAGTCTGAAAACCCCCACCTACAGGTTTTGTGTCTGTTTTTCTGACAGGGTCTGGTGCTACTTCGAGTTAGTGTGTCCCAGTCTATGGGTAGCTATCATCTAATGACGAGCAGGGAGAATTTCAGGGGTTGTTTGAAGGCCAAAAGTGGGGGTTCATGAAAGATTTCTTTTGGGATATGCTCCCCATCAAATATGAGTTCCAGTTTGAGGTGGGAATTGACAACTATGGGTATGAGGTTGGAAGGAGTTTTATTTCAGCATTAATACAGGTTTTCTCTGGGTATTTGGGTGGTCCATTCCACAATGTGATCTACTTCTCTGGTAGAGTGCTGTTGTTTGGTGAGGACAGGTATACATGCACTAGAGTATATTAAGATTTCTTCTTGTGTTTGGGCTGATTACTGGATCTATGAAAGTAGGTGGGGTGACTAGTTGGTTTCTTGTTTATGGTTTTCTGTAGGGTTCCACTACTGTAGTTGTTTGTGGTGTTCAGAAAGTTAATACTAGTGTGGCAGAATCCCAGAAACGGGATGGGTAGAGATTGATGAAGCTGTGGAGGAACTCTATGAGAGAGTATCACTGCTGTGTCTCTGGTATATCATTGGTCTCATGGTGCATCTATGTATCACATGGTGCATCTTTTGCCTCTGTTTTCACAGACAAGGTCAGCTCCCAGACTACTGCACTTGGCAACACAGTATGGAAAAGAAGTGGGCAGCCCATCGAAGAGAAAGAACAGGTTAAGAACTATTTAGAAAAGTAGGACATACACAAATCCATGGGACCAGATCTAATGAATCTAAGGGTGAGGAGGGAGTTGACCGATGTGATTGCAGAGTGACTGGCCATTATCTTTGAAAACTTGTGGCAATCAGGGGAGGTCCCGAACAATTGGAAAAAGGCAAATGTAGTCCCCATCTTTTAACAAGGGAAGAAGGGCAATCTGGGGAACTACAGACTGGTCAGCCTCCCCTCAGTCCCCAGAAAAAGCATGGAGGGGATCCTCAAGGAATCCATTTTGAAGTACTTGGAAGAGAGGAAAGTGATCAGGAATAGTCAACATGGATTCACCAAGGGCAAGTCATGCCTGATGAACCGGATTGCCTTCTATGAGGAGGTAACTGGCTCTGTGGACATGGGGAAGGCAGTGGATGTCATATACCTTGACTTTAGCAAGGCTTTTGATACGGTCTCTCACAGTATTCTTTCCAGCAAGTTAAGGAAGGATGGATTGACTAAATGGACCGTAAGATGGATAGAAAGCTGGCTAGATTGTCAGACTCAATGGGTAGTGATCAACAGCTCAATGTCTGGCTGGCAGTTGGTATGAAGCAGAGTACCCCAAGGGTTGGTACTGGGGTCGATTTTGTCCAACATCTTTATTAAAGATTTAAATCAGGGGATGGATTGTACCCTTAGCAAGTTCACAGATGACACTAAACTATGGGGAGAAGTAGATTCATTGGAGGACAGGGACAGGGTCAAGAGTGACGTAGACAAATTGAAGAATTGGGCCAAAAGAAATCTGATGAGGTTCAACACAGAGTCCTCCACTTGGGACAGAAGAATCTCAAGCACTGTTATAGGCTGGGGACCAATTGGCTAAAATAGCAGTTCGGCAGAAAAAGACCTGGGGATTACAGTGGATGAGAAGCTAGATATGAGTCAACGTGCCTTTGTTGCCAAGAAGGCTAACAGCATATTAGGGTGCACTGGGAGGAGCACTGCCAGCAGATCTAGAGAAATGATTATTCCCCTTTATTCCACACTGGTGAGGCCACATCCGGAGTACGGCATCCAGTTCTGGGTTCCTCCATTACAGAAAGGATGTGGAGGCATTGGAGAAAGTCCAGCAGAGTAAGGATGTTAAATATTGGTTAACTGAATAGTCGATTAACTTCATGAATTCTTATTGGTTAGTCGACTAATCTATAGTCTATGGGGGTGGGCCTGGCAGCCAGTGTGCTTTAGCCCCACTTCTGGGGAGCCCTCTGCTAACCTACGCTGCTGTTAGGCAGGAGCTGGTCCGCAAGAGGAGTCAGTTTAAAAACCAGCTGTCCTCGCAGACTGGCTGCCTGACCCCTATGCTGCTGCCTCTAATAAAGAGGCAGCAGTGCAGGGTGGCAGCAGCCCCTGTCCGGAGGGGTGGAGTGGAGTTTGAGCTTCCGGACCCGGCATGAGCTGGAACTGAGCTGTGCTGCCTGCTAGCCTGGCTCCTAATACATTTGAAATGCAGAGCCAAAGCAGGGTAGGCCCCGAACCCGGCACAAGCTGGGAATGAACCAGGCTGCTGGCCAGCCTGCTAAAAAATTAACTATGGAGGAAGTGGGGGAAGGGGGAATGAATGTAGTCCATAGCATTAACCTATAAGCTTTTGCTTATCGATTAATCAGTTCATCAACTATACTATTACATTCCTACAGGGGAGGGCAACCAGAATGATTAGGGGGCTGGAGTACTTGACTTGAGAGGCTGAAGTATTTGGGCTTATTTAGTCTACAGAAGAAGAGAATGAGGGGGGATCTGATAGCAACCTTCAGCTACCTGAAGGGAACTTCCAAAGAGGATGGAGAAAGGCTGTTCTCTGTAATGACAAATGACAGAATGAGGAGCAATGGTCTCAAATTGCTGCACGGGCAATTTAGATTGTATATTAGGCAAAACTATTTTACTAGGAGGGTGGTGAAGCACTGGAATGTGTTACCAAGGGAGTTGGTGGAATCTCCATCCCTAGAGGTTTTTAAGTCCTGGCTTGACAAAGCCCTAGCTGGGTTGATTTAGTTGGGGTTGGTCCTGCTTTGGGCAGGGGGTTGGACTCGATGACCTTCTGAGGTCTCTTCCAATTCTATGATTCTATCCAGAAATTCTTCTACAAAATGGTTCGTGAAGAGGTTGGAAAGCCATCCTAGTACCCATGGCGGTTCCCATGATTTGGATAAAGTGTTTCTTGTTGAACATAAAATTGTTATTGATGAGGATGAAATGAATGAGTTTGGATGTGTGTTTGGGGGTGGATATCTGAGGACTATCCATTGTCTTGCAAATATTTGAGGCAGGCAACTATGCCATCATTGTGAGGGATATTGGTGTATAGGGAAGTGACATCTGTGGTTGAAAGGATGATGTTCTAAAGTAGGTTGTTAATGTTTTGGAGTTGGTAGAAGAAGTCAGTTGTGTCCTGGAAGAAACTGTCCCTTTGCATGGTGACTGGTTTGAGGATGGTTTATATGATTTCCAATATTCCTTTAGAAAGTGTGTGGTGGCCAGATATGATGAGTCTTCCTGCATTTCCTAGTTTGTGTATCTTGGAAAGCATGTAGAAGGTCCCTGGGGCAGGTTCGTGGATGATGAATTAATAGAGTTTCTCCTGAAGTTTCTCTGGAGAAGGATTTGATGATATCCTCAACTTCTTGAGGAAACTGGTGTTGGTTTTTCTCTAAGTTCTTTATAGCAGGCGATGTCAGCAAACTGTCGGTTGGCCTCTTTAATGCAGCATCAAAGTTGAAGAGAAGTACAATGGCATTACCTTTATCTGCTGGTCTGATTACTATTTGATAATTAGATTTTAGGGACTGTATGGTTATCCTCTTGACAGTGGAAAGATTATGATATTTGTTAAGGATTTCACAGTCAATTTTTTCCACTAATGAAATTGATGCAATGATCAAAAGTTTGGTTTCATCTTCTCTGTAGGGTCCAATCAGATGATTCTTTTTTCTTCTGACTATTGGAGGGGACGAGGTAAT